TCATTTTCAGCAACAGCAACTCTAGTTACTCAAAACAAATCGAGTGTGCAAAAAATTAGAAGTTGTAGTTTTATTACTCTTTGTTCTGTTACATTGTAAGTCAGACACGTGGATTGCAAGACACAACCTCATCGTTAACGTTTGGTTGAAACCTGACCAAATCACTAACAAAACGTAACCTTCATCTTTATAGTACAACATTTACATTTTAGCAAATGCTGCTTTTGAGTGTCATATACATTTTGTAAATTCTCCGTTACATCTCTTACACGTTTGCGCAATGAAAATAATCGTATCCTTCGGCGCGACCTGCTGGCCGAAGTAACATCGCCATTCGCACAAAAAATCGTGGTAGTGGGCATTCATTGGCATTTGAATGCGTTAAAACTTATACATAATGTATTTCAAAGAGAACAGGGTGATGAATGTTGAGTTAACCTTGTGAATTAGTCGTTTAGTGATAAACACGCAACAAATTTACGGACAGGGCGAAATAAAGACAAACTCTATTTTTATGTTTACTTCATTAACACTCAAAGCCTTTAATTTTAATGTTACATTTGTGAAGTTTTATTGGAGCAAGAGGGTGGCCTAATTCATTATAGTGTCACTCTGGGTCTTTCTTTTTTTCGCTCTTGTTGGCACCAGATGCTATGCGGGTTATTTTCGGCGCAGCGGGGCGTGCAATCTTGAGCACTTTACAACACGCACAGCACTAGCCAATTTGCGGTCGCGACTGCCAACAGGAAATGTCATCAGTTTCACAAACAAAAGTCCCTCTAGTTAATATCTTTTTTGGGAACATGATAAGATTGAATAAATTTCCATCATGATTGTCTCAAAATTGAATTTTCTTTGAAAGCCCAAATGACCGGACAACATGTCCGGTCATCCACGGATTTGCTCGAACAATGCTCGATTCTGACCGGACATTGTCCGTTGACCGGCCGTTATTTCAAGCCCTGCAATGTAAAAAGAGCTTTAACTTAAAGCAGGCTTGTTTTTTCTGTTGACGTCGAATTGATTTTGACAGGGGCAATAGGGAGGAGAAGTATGACGTCACGACAACATGGTAACAAAATTTCTGGATCGCAACAATCTTTCTTGACAGTGCTACAGTGGAGAAGCGACGACTCGAACTCGGATAACTCGAACTAAGTCCGATTTCCCTTGGATTTGACCCTACTTTTCAGTCAATTTTATTCGGTTACTTCGAACTCAGATAACTAGAAATTCCCCACTAACTTGATTGTCAAACGATGGAAGAAAAGAATGGGCTACCATTTTGTTCCAGAGTGCAATAATGCACAGGAAAGTTATACGTGTCATTTTTTTTCCGTTTTTTCCTTCCATATTTGTGGGACCACGGTTTGTTAAGATCCAGAAATTTTGCTGCGATGGCAACGTGACGTAACGACGTCTCCTCCCTTCAGTATTACAATTATTGCACGGTGGTGTGACTCAGTGAACATGAAAAAGACAACTTAAACAAAGTGTAGATGTTACATAACTTGAAAGGCTTATAGTTATCATCAGCAAGTGATAGCCTGCGCTGCAGCCGGCCCACGCCTCATCTAGACCACTGTTATAGTCCGCCTGCGAATTAGCGCACAAAAGCTCGTTCTTGTATCCAGCAGAGTGGCATTGATTTGTGTGAGCGATCGGTAGGCAGGTTCCTTACGCGCCTCACGACTGGTCTAATTCTTTCGTGTGAGTGACGGTTGGACGTAGGCTAGACATAAACGGAAGTTGGCACAAAAGCGTTTACAGCAGTGAAAGCTAACAGCAGTTTGAACTTGAAAACGTTATTCTCACTGGATTCAAACACAGTACATGTATTGTGCACTAATTTCGCAGATGCTCTATACAGCGGTTAAAAGTGTCTGCGACCTAGGCTAGAAAGTGAGGGCTTTTTCATTCTTACATTCTCGCTACACGATGATAAAAAGGAATGTCAGTCAGCTTGACATTCTTCTCTGATGTTGTGAACAGAAAAAAATGTATAACGGAGTACCAATAACATCAATAAGGTTTGATTGTTGGATCCTTGCTGTAAAATCCGTTAAATGAGAGTAGAGACTGTGGTCATTACATTACCATGAACATTACCATGAACCATTACCATGAACTTGGACCAATATTACCCGGTAGGGCTCTTACTTTATGAGAGTGTTTTTCAAGGTCAGCGTGCAAAGAAAGTAGTGTCCGATAGCGCGGTGCTAGTGGATTTTGCTATCGGGCTAGTGAATTCTGTTTTTAAGATCAAGATTTTGCTAGTCAAAACGTTTTTGGGGCTAGTTGAAATGACGTCTGGGCTAGTAAATGCTAGCTTCAGCTTGCCCGAATGGCAAGCTGTAAAAATGATTTTCTTTGCACCCTGCAAAGTGAACATGTTTCATTAGCACAAACCTTTAGGAACTGTATCTAACTCTTGTGGTTAATAATAATAACTTTATTTGAGTCTCAAATCATTCTAGCCGAGCACGAGTGCTGTACTAATTGGGGAGACTGTAAATCAAATAAATCAAATCAAATCAAATGTTGGTTTTTGAGGAGAGGGGAAAACCGGAGTTCCCGGAGAAAAACCTCTCGGAGCAGAGTAGAGAACCAACAAACTCAGCCCACATATGACGCCGGGTTCATATACAATGGAGGACTGGGCTTATTTGCAACTGTTAACGAAGAAAAAGAGAGTGTGGTATTAAAATATAATTATAACGGCTTAAGAATTGACAACACTGTACATTTATTTGAGTTTTTACGTTACTGACGCCACAAATACCTGAGTACGATGATTAATGACCAAAACAATACAAAAATATACTTTGGTCGACGCTAACCATGTACAAATGAGTTTTCATTGCTTCTTTTCAGCGGCCGCAACAAATTCGAAACTTGACTATTGGGGCAGCAAGAGGAAACTAACCTGATGATGGATTGCAGTAAATGACATGTCTGTTAAAGACAACTTCTCCAAATAGCCTGCCACATTTAGGGCAGCTTCTCTGCTCCGCGTTAGTTCCATTAACATCGACTGGGGCTCTGGCTTGTCCTTGCCCTACATATAACAATATAATAAAAGTAATTAGCAAGTTATAAACAAGCTATTACTAGTTTTACTTCAACAACCAAAATAACCAATATATAATCTAACTGAATTTTTGGTAGTCAGTGTTCTTTTTCAGTCCCAAAAAGCGGTCCATGTGTGAATATTGAAGGTGTTAAAATCCAAGAAAACCTCCAGCAAACCTGGATACTGCCGGAAATTTGCTTCAGGGAGATGACAGCAGAAGATGATAGTTTACATAGGTTGATTGGTCACGCATCAATGAGAAGTCTCAACTCACAGTCAACAAGAGAAAACAAAACGATTCAAAAGTACTCAACGGGTCTAATCGAACAAACCCGAACAAAACTTTAATTGAATTCAATCGGACTTAATCGTTCGATTGATTTCAGCAATCAAATAAAATCGAACAGGAAATTCTTTATGACTTCAATTATCGAACAAATAAAACACAATCGAACTGAACCCTTCGATGTTAACTAAACCCAAATCATAGCCTCGATCTCAACTGAGAAAGTCTGATACATGTAGTGAAAGCAAAACCGTCAGTTCAAGGGAATATTTAACAGAACGGCAAATTATTCTATTCTTTATTTCATTTGGTAACAATTAAATATCAAACGAAAACTGCAACCTTTCCACCTGGTTTCATGTTGTTATCACGTGTTATTGTATGCGTGAAATCACACACCTGTATAGCTTTTTCAGAAAATATTTGCAAATGAAAAAGCCATACCTTACGAACAAAACTGTAGTTAAATTTAATATAACTTTTTACATCTTTGTCTACATTAATTTTCGTTGGTTTTCCCCAGAGTCCTCGATTGCTTTGTACCAATGTCTGTACATGACTGTAGTTGTTAATTTTTTGGGTGGGGATCAGTTCAAAGAATCACATAAGACGACAATCACATATTGAAAAATGAAAACCCTTGTATTTGGTAATTTATTCAAGCTTTTTAGACATGCCATCACATTCGCACGGGCAGTTTGCTGTTGGGGATAATGAGAAGAATAAGACGATTGTCATATTTGTCTTCATCTTTATCCACAAGTGGCAAACGTTCCGTGCGAATGTGATGGCAAGTCTAAAGAGCTTGAATAAATTACCAAATACAAGGTTTTTCATTGCAGCTGAAAAATGGATAGTTAGAAGTACTGGAGTTGGTGGCTTAATTTGTTGTCAAAACGGAAACCTGCGACGCTAAAAACTCTTGACAATTTTTCGTAGATGCTATATTTTGCTTTGTTACGATTTGTTCGAAAAGAGAGGGACAAATGCAAAGTAATTTTGATGAATAGAAGTCCTTTAATATCACTGCGCACTCAGCATAAAGTTGTTCTTCTTGTGGTGCTAACTGTATTCACCGTAGGTTTCTGATTACTCAGTTTGTTGCACTAAAGTTTTAGGTAAGAATACCCTTTCAGGTAGGAGAAAGTCTGTCGGCACTCTTTCTCTATTTGTGCGTCAACTTTCACAAATGTGTTAGCGTAGCTTTTTAAGGTTAAACTTGACCAGCACTTTGTGCCGCGAGTTCTACGGTCACGATTGACTTTTCGTAAAAATGAGGTTTTAAATATATGCCGATATCTCAAAGGTTTTTAGATCTACAAGAAAGTAAATAACATTTTCTTAAAGTTCCATCATCATTTATTAAGGGTGCCAGAAATCGTAGAAATAGGTTGAACCGTTCATTCTGAAAAACGCGAAACAAAAACGTATGTAACACGCATGTAAATAGGTTCGGGCCACCTTAAATCAGACATCTTTACCTCCTTTATGCGGAATGAGACTAACATAGTGAAGCTGATCCACGTGACCTAGCACAAGCCGGTTGCTACCAGTAACATCAAACTCTTCGCACATCATTTCGTCATGGTCACGCCCCAGACTACTGATCACGTGGACGCAAATTTTAAAGCAGTTTGCCGC